GAAGAACAGATTGCGACGGTACCAAAAAGATACCTTGGGCGCATAGATTTTAAAAAGTTTACGAGTATATGACTTCAAAAGTTTTGAGCTTAGATGCATGTGTTGTTAGCATGAATAGTAACGAAATAAATAAAAACGAGAATGTAACTTGAAAATGTCTCGATATCTGTTATAATTATGCAAAATTCAGATTCATATTCAGATTTCAAATGAAATAAATATAGTTTTTTATAAAATAAATTAAAAAAGTGAGTTTTCATTTTTTGTACTGATAGAGCAACGATTATCAAAGTAAAATATCGCAAATTTCTTGTATGCAATACGAAATACAAATTTAAAAATTATAAAAAAAGAAAGCCTAAGATATTATTGAGGCTTTTAATTCTTCGCCAAAACATTTTATTTTGGAGCAGTCCAGAACAGTCCAGGCAGCATACCGGAAGTATAATAATATATGTAAGTAAGGGAGCGAGCAAAAAACAGAGAAAGACATCGTCTCAATTAATAGAGACGTATTATTATGCTGGCATCGATGCTGAGCCATTGACAAACGAATCGCCAAACAGCTGATTCGCAAGAGGACGAGAGCAGAGAGAAAAGAATCGATTAAGGGCAAGGGAAGCGTGAGATCCGTCTTGCGACACCGATGGCTATCGCATCATAACAAGCGATCCACGTGAAAATCTACTTAAAAAACGAGCCATGAGTGCTATTTCGTCCAAAGCGTCAGCAGCAGCTACAGCAGGAGTGCAGCGTCGGTAGCGCAATTTTCATTGGTAAATGTTATCGATCTGCGTTTTCCGAAATAAATCATCGCGACTCGGCCAAACGATTACGTCGATCGTAGGTAGATAGGCAGGCCAGAGCAGACTCGAGAGCTCGTGACATATGCACTGCCGCAGAGGGAGAGGGAGAGAGAACTGCGCAGTTAATTATTGTCGCTATTGCGGAATATTAATCAACGAGCATATGCAATTATTGCGCAAAATTGGCATAATAGAAATTCCGCCATCTCGCTATATATCTATCTACATTATACAGCGAGGGAGATATGATGTGTGCAGGCGTGCGCATATAGCCAAACGAGCGCAGCTTAGCGTACACACACAAACTCGCTCGCAAATTATGGTATTATTCGATCGAAATCAAACGTTAATTAATTCGTCGACTGTATTTAGGTTGTTTAAGCTCGTTCGAGTTGGATTCTTTGCGCGAGCAATAATAATCGCTGGGGCTAATTTAATCGTCGTGGTGCGTTGAGTCGTGCCGCGCTATGCAATAAAATCTCACTCGCGTCGAACGAAACGAACCTTTTTGGCGCTATATAATATAACTTCAAGTCATGCAGAAGCTAATCTCGCTATCGAAGATCGCTGCCTGTATGTTCGAGAGAGTGGGACAATAGCACACTTAAACAAGCACACACATGGCAGCTTTTGTCCTGGCTCATTGTGTCTCGCGGGCTCCTTCCACTTCTCTCGCTATGCATTATAATCTCCACTTCCGATCGCACTGATACATTAGGCGACAAATCTAGCGATCCATTGTGCAGTAGTCCCGACGCGATCGTTTACGCGACGAGTACGTATCGCCGCATTAATTTCTCGTATCTCTCTATATTCGCTTTGCCGAGCGTGAAAGGGGCTCTGCCGCTGCCGTCGCGTTTAATTCGATTCGCCGACTACGACGACTAGGACGATCGACCGAAATTACGCTGCAGCCTCGAATATATATATTCGTGTACGGAGTAATGCGAAACTCGAGCAATAACTGGAAATTCGCCTCCGTCTCATTTCCGCGAGTAATTGTTTCGGGTGTACGCGCCTGCCTCTAATGGAAACATACACTACTCGGGCTTCCATTTTGTGCGATTCGCAGCCACCGCCGTCGCTACTGCCGTCGCGCGCGAGAGAGAGAACGAATTTATCCGCTCGCTCGCGCGCGAGTAAGCGACGATATCGTTTGCTCTCTCTCGCTCTCAAAGCTAGCGCCTAATATATTTACACCCTAAGGACGTTAAGCCGGAGTTAAGGCTTTTCTTCTTTTATATTTCCTCCTTCTCGACGCGCCTCTCTGTATACTTGCTAGCTCCTCGTCTGCACGTGCTGCTATACTGATGTTGCTTCGTGGATGAGATCGTAACGGATCACGTACTTTTCTTACGCTTCTCTTTTTTTAGCTCTTATTGCGATCGTAAGCGAGAACCTCCCCCAAACGCACGCGTCTCGAATGAAATAATGTACTCGGGTTGCAGTATCATGATTTGTGCGCAGTAAACTAGCCTTCAATAAAAGAAAGATCACGTGGATCTTTGGACAAATTTGTCAGCTAGATAAATACACTTTGTCGAGCTTTTTTTCTGCACTCGGCGCGTAAATATATACAAGAAGAAGCGAGCAGCGCGTCGGGAAAATTGAAAAAGCTCCGCTCGCTTAAAGGAAATTCGCTTATCTTGGCATCGCGAGCGAACGAGCTCGAGCGAGCCGAGAGCAAGCGCCTCTCATTACATCTCTCCAGGCATCTTGTTTTGCGCAGACTTATCTCATTGTTGCTGTATAGAGAGCGAGGAAAAATACACGCCCTCTCTCGACGCCCCGACAAATTGCCTTTTTTACTCACTTATAAGATGAATATCGTCCTGATGAGCCGAGCGAGCGAGTAAAGCGATCTCGTAATTTTTCCTCTTACCTATACAGCGCAGCTCGTCGGAGCCCCGAGAAAAACGACGTCGAATTTCGCTATAAACTGTTGTTGCTGCCTTCAATTCTCTCTCGCTGCTCTTCTCGTAGTTCAGTCGAGTCGCGCATGCAAAGAGAGAAAAAAACATAATTGCACTTTAAAAAAGTTAGCGCGATTTTGAAAGCGAGTTGATCTAATATTCCAAAGTCCTGCCTCTGCCTCGTCGCAAAGTAAATTTACGCCATTGAAATCACTCTGATGCGCAAACAAGGATGCATTAAGGGGGGCTACATACGTGAGGGCTGCCAACGAGCCGGGAAGGGAGAGAGATACAGCCAAAGTTGAGCCAAAGCAAAAAAGCATTTCATCGACAACAAAACTTTGTAAGTAAGGCGCCGGTGGAAAAAATCAAACCTCGGGAGAGAGAAAATTGGCTGGTCGCGCGCGAAAGCAGGGCGTTAACGGAGGGCGGTCCAAGAGACTCAGAGAGAAGGAGAGAAACTTGGAAAGCTGGCGAGAAGAAAGCCGAAGCTCGAGGGGCTGCTGCTCTGTGCAGTCTTACCCCGCTGGAAATCGAAAGTGAGCGTAGTGTAGTAAGCGACGGCAGCCATTCTTCGGCTTCGGCCTGTTTCTGGCAGGCGCTTCATGAATTATTTACCATTCTCACCCAACGCTAAGGGTGAACTTTCGTTCTTTTTCGTACGCGCACACGTATACGAAGTGGTGGCGAATAAGCTCGATCGTAGCGCCATTGCGGCGCGAGAGCTTATTTATGTTTTTTTTTTTTTTTTTAAAGAGAGTTTATTTGGTCGGTCGGTCGATCACGCGTCGTCGTGCGTCGGAATGCGGCGCACAGTAGCCGCTACTGTCCGTGTCGTAGCACAGTAGCAATTTTTACGTCGAAAAATACGTATTTTAATTGAATTTCACGGATGATAAAGCCATTTTTTAATTACGTTTGTCAGAGTGGCCAATTTAAGCGACGAGAGAGAGAGAGAGAATCCATTAATTCGACAGTGACAAACGCCCTTGATGCTCGCTTATCCACGTCAGACACATCTATTAAGCCGAGTGACAGAAGAAGCAAGAGGCAAAAATGTTATTAAAAATTACGAAAAGGCCATTATGAAACGGCTCTACAGAGCTCGTTAATTCATAGATGTCGATATATTAAACCAGTCGAGATTGAGCTCGGGCTGCATGAATAACAGCGCTCATGATGAATTATTCATCCAAAGACTATTTAAATTACCATTATAGCTACCGAATTATTACAAAAAAATGCTCTGCGACGTTAAATAAAGATGCTTTTGGCTCGTGCGTGCGGCCGAATCGAATTTTCTCCACACACACATACCTATAGCATATATATATATAAGCGATACATTATAACTGTAATGAAAGATAAGAATCGAGCGAATCCATTAATACAGAGCGACAAGAAGGTAAAAGTGCTACTGGTATATAATACGAGAGGTAAGGGGCCCCGCACAGAAAACAACATAATAGCTCGCTCGAGGTTAATACAAATTCATTTAGCGGCACTTTCACGAATTAGCCATTAGCAAATTGTCTTGCGCAGCGAATATTGTAAAAAAAAAAAAAAAAAAGAGTACAGTAGCCTCGGCTTATTTTACATGGCTAATAAGCTCGCTCACGCGCCGAGATCGGTTCACTTTGTGCCAAGCTCGCTCGCTCTAGTTTTGGTACATTATATTATATGCCTCGCTGCGGAGTCCGTCGGCAGCTGCTGCCACCGCGTAATTACATACGCACGCAGCGCAGCACACGCGCAGAATAGAAAGCAATGCTGCTGCTGCTGCGGTGGTGGCTATATATATACGTATACAACATCGCGACAAGAGAAAGAGAGGAGAGAAAGAGAGAAAAAAGATGTTTTTGTAACCGGTAGCCAGAACACATTCGATCAGCGCGCGAGATAATGAGTACAAAAATTATGAGCAACGCATTAGGCCGGCCCGAGAGAGCACGAGAGTGTTTTACGATGATAGGGCGATTTTTCTCATTTTATTAATGCGCATAATGACGACGCGCGCCCGACTCGCTTATAAGCGGAATTTTTTTCACCTTATTAATATGAGCAGCTCCTCCGATGGTTTGTTATTTTCGCGATATCGTATACTCCTCTTCTATACCTAGTTGCTTCTCTTATTGCGCGATCATCGTCATGCGGCTGGAATGTCCGGGGCTAGCTCATAATTTAATGCACTTTTGATCATCATTTATCCTTGTTGACAAAATGTACAAGAGAAAACAAAAGCAATTCTGATTCATTTGTCTCTATTTTCTTTGTGCCGCAGGTCTGGTTTCAAAATCGCCGAGCCAAATGGCGTCGCCAGGAGAAAATGGAAGCTGCCCGACTCGGACTCAGCGAGTACCACCACGCGGCAACCATAAGGTACAAAATGTAATAACATATTATTACTCAGCATACGCATACATCCTCTCGCTCGACCAATCGACTCGAGATTCGATCGATCCCCGCTATACCATGGCATAATTATACCAACTTTTGTCTTTGTTGTCTCTTGCAGAAACGTCGGCGGCACGAGCATCGGTCTGACGGCCGACCCCTGGCTGCACCCTGGCGGTCTGCTGAACGCCTTGCCGGGCTTCTTGGCGGGTCCGCACGCCGGATACGCCAGCTACCTCACGTCCCCGAGGCGGCTGCCGTCGCCTCCCCCCGTAGCGCCCGGCGGCAACGCGGCCCTAGCTGGTAAGAGGCCTCCGTACCTCGTGCGTAATTTACCTTCCTTACAACACACGCATCTCTGATTCTGACATCTTATATACAAACTCCCCCTCGTCGAGAGTCGAGTCTCGTATTTCTTGTGCTTTCCAATCTAACTCTCTGCTCCGCTTGCTTTGTGTCTGTACAGGAGTGCTCAGCGGCGGCATGGCCAGTCTGGTGAGCGCCTCGGTCCAGCCCCCGGGCAGTCCGCCGGGTGGCGGCTCCGCTGCATCGGTGTCCATCTCCGCAGCCCACGACCCGCGATCGTCGAGCATCCAGGCGCTACGTCTGCGCGCCAAGGAGCACGTCGAGCATCTCACCAAAAACATGCAGCAGCACCTGCAGAGGCGGTCCTGCAGCCCGACGGGCCGCGACGACGCCCCGACCTCCTACGTGCCCGTCTCGTGAAAGACCGAGCGCCACCACCAGCTCCAAGACGCTTAGGACTTTTGAGCGGCACGACGTCTTGTGCCATGAAATAATGCGGCTCCTTCGCAGGCCGAGAGACTATTATCGATCGGCGCAGCGACGCGACGCGACGACGGATCGTTGTTTCACCGTTGTTTGCGGCGAATCGAAAGCTCGACGCGCGCCTGTGATTGTGCTTGCGAGGAGGACCTTCGGACGCCATCTCAGCGATCCAATTTGGATCGTTCGACTACAAGCAGCTTTTTCAATAAATGAATTACGTGTGCGATTACCTAAGATGTGTGTACAATAGTCAGTTGTCTTCGCAAAGCTGACTCGAAATTATCTGCATCTTGTCAAATATTGCACGCCACAGACTACTTTTGCTCTTATGTACTTGTATGATTCGGTGCAATGTTCCGTCGCGCGCAATTGTAAATCTGATCGTTGAATGCCATAAACGCTTCATGTACTATGTCGCCGATTCAAGAAAGGGCAGCTTTTTCAATGTACCGAATAAAAAACAAAATATTATTGTGCTTTCGTTGCGTCGAGTATGCAAATGAAAATTTACCGCGAGATTGTAATAACTCTGCTACAGAGAGAAGAAACTTGACTGTAAAGCAATTTGCAATTATATGGTCTCTTGGAGGGCTCGACAAAAACCCTTGAATGTAACATTTAAAACTCGTATTGATCTCCTTGTCGAATCTAATTTCGTGTGAATATATTTTTGTTGTTGTTGTTGGAATGGCTGAGACAATCACCATGTAAATAGAATGTGTGTGACTCTTGTGTCTGTAAAGGTGCTACTCGTGCACCTATCCTCAAGACACCTATACTTTTAAGGGTGAATGCATTGATTGTGTAGACAAGCGTCGTCGTCGGAACTTGCGCGACCAAAACCTGCATTAAGGACAAAACAAAAACTGTATACCATTACTGGCGTATTATAACAAAAAAAACCTATTAATTAAAATAAATTAAACTAGACCTATAGCGTTTAAAAGTGATACTATATAATAGCCATTATTTCGCGAAGAGAGAGAAGAGTTGGTGATCGCTGCGACGACGCAGCCGAGTTTCGTCGGAGGCGTGAACAGTGTACTATATAGACGTTATAATTCGATTCGAGCCCGAGCGATCGACCGGGCGAGTCGGAGGTCACCTAATAATTCGTTAGCCTAGCTACAATGTATAGCCGTAATAAGAAATGAGTGTTGAGCATGAAACAAAACAAAAAATAGTCAAAAAAGAAAAATAATACTGATAAAACGATACTTGCTTCGGGGTACACGGACGGTGTTTTTTGTATTCTTTGTATCGAGTCGATTGTTGAGCATTTTCTCGCTGAGCAGTGCACTCGATCCGTATCGAGTATACACCTAGAGAGCGAGTACAGGTACTAAATCGAACAAATTGCCACATGGTCGAGTAAAAAACTGTATGTAAGTGATTCGTTTCTATGCGCAACTCGAGCGACTACGTAAACAAAAAATATTATAGCGACACACACACTAGAAATTCATTTGTATATAGCAACTCGTGATGGAATAAATTTGATGTACATATTTAAATCGAATTGCCTTCATATGATATTCCTATGGTCCAATGTCCAATTCTTTCTTTTTAGTTTTTATTTTCATTATAAAAGTATTCATTTATAGTAGTAATAAAATGGGATTGTTTTACTTTGGGCGATTACCTTCAATGCGAATGAATCTCTCTTTTTATTCGAGGCAGCAGCAAAGTCGGCTAAACTCGTTATCAAGCAGTCGAGGGCCATCATAATAGACGTCGAGCCGACCAAGTTTTCCAACCGGATTTCGAAATTCTTTCGCTGATAGCAATGACGCGCGAGTAAGCGACTGCTGGCGTGTTTGTTGACGTATTAGCATTTCAAAGAAGAGCTTCAATTAAGCTTTAATTAATTTCGTGAAACACGAAGAGAAGATAGAGACAGAGAGAGAGAGAGAGAATGAGTAAGAGTGGGCTTTAGAAAGGAGGAGTATAAGTGAGAGAGATGGAGGGCACAGGAGCTCTGCAGGCGAGGGTGGCATAACAGTACGATTATTCGGTTTTCTTTCGACTTAATTAAAAGCCCCAGGAAACAGCCAAAATAAGCGAAGAATATTAGCTCTTTTGATGGTCGTGGAAAGCTGCAAAGACGAAGGAAGGACGAAGGAGGAGAGGAGGCCAAGCGAGAAAACGCCCAAGTAGACAGAGAGCGAATCTCAAGAATTAACTTCCGCTTTTTAAATTTCGACCTCTTACCTTTTATTTCATCAAGCGGCGCGCGAGTCTAGTTTTAAAAAGTTTCTCTTGCGGAAGTCGATCTCTCGACGCGCCCCGCGAAAAAGAGTTATAATGACTTTCGTCCAAGCAGGCAGTCAGGCAGCGCCTTGAGCTTTAGCTGCACTCAAAGCGGCCGTGATGAACTTGCAACTCGTTAAAATTTATGAGAAAAATTTTTCTGATTAATTTAATAAAATCCTATCAAGTTTGCTTTCGCGAGCTCTATATACAGGGTTTCATGCCGTTATTAATTCTAAAAAATTTCTCTACCACCTCAATTACGTGCTTTGAAGAGAAAAATTTATTAATTTGCCGTAGCTGTTATTATATAAAGTTTGTCGGAGTGCAGACTGTGTTGCCATTGAACTAATTCTGCAAATGACAAGTGAGTATTAGTAGCGAGCATCGTCTGCGTGCTTTACTTGGGCAAAACTCGAGGTTTACTCCCTCTTTCTCGACGCGAAATGTGTGTGTACGTGTGCGTGCGTGGGGGTATACAACAGCTACTGCTTTATCGATGTGCGATGCTCGGAAAATTTACTCGACACAGTCGTTGAAGCATTGTCCATTAAAGCGACAAAGCTTGCCGCGTTGGCAGCGCGTGCGCTTGTTTATTAGCCGGGGGTCGATTAAACGCCCGTTTCTCTCTCTCTCGCTCACTCACTACGCGCAGCAGCAGCAGAGTTTGCAGCGGCAGTTTTGCCAGAGTATGTACAAGGGGGAAAAGGAGGATCTTCCCAGAGAGCTTCGCATACAATCCATATCCTTTGCCTTTCAGGCATGATGGCGCAGAGCTAGCATACATAGCTACCTACGCCGAGGAAATCGGGGATTTATTAAATTTGTTCGAGCATAGACAGAGAGAGGATTCGTATGGCTTGAGAGAGAGAGAGAGAGAGAGAGAGAGAGACGAATATGTATGCATATATAAACGAATGCCAACTGATCATTTTCATTTGCCTACACGCGTGAGTTTATCTGTATGCTCTACCTCTCGTTCCTGTTTACACACGTATATTCTTTGACTAATTTCTACTTCGTTTTCGGGATGAAATAATTTTTGAAACATTTTTGAATTTTTTTAGCTCAAAGTTTTTAGCGAGAAACAGAATTACCCGAGCCATTCCAATATTGCCTGTTTCGTCTAGCTGTATTGCAGGTTTTATCTAACGAAAAATAAAAGAATCATATCCCTAACAGAAATGTTCAAAATTGTATAAATTTTTATATTTATAGTGCTTGCGCCCGTTAGGGCATTGCACTTACTTTAATCTTAATATTATTTAAAAATTACAGAAAATCTTTACAGATGTGCAAATTATAGACAAGTATAACAAGTATAACAAAAATTGTACAAATAATATAACATTAGAAACAGAAGGTAGTGCTATTCCACTCCGCGCGCTCCTTCACCCGATGCCAACGCTGGTCCATCAAGGAAACAGCATGGTCAAGGACGAAAGCGCACGGAGGCTGCAGGGACGCAAGCATGGCTCGCCATAATAGCTTACCTCAAGAGGACATGGTTGAGGAGAGCTGATTTTAATCAAGAGCAATAATAAAAAATGATACGAAAAAATTAATAGGGAATAAATGATAGAAGGTATTCCTGCCTTGACTTATACAGTTATTTTGACTTGGCCACTTGCAGATTTGCAGATACTGGGTACTCGCCATCTTGCGGTAGGAATCTAGAATAGCATAGTGCACGTATGGATGTTAAATCCAAGCATAGATTGCTTTGATAGTTGAGGGATGGAGGGCATGCAATGCTATAACAATGCCAGTAGCCAGTTAGCGGCGCTCATAGCCGAGTTTCCATCGGCGCGGTAGCTCAACACAGCCTGCGGCCTCGCGCGCGACAGTCGGGGCTCGTTATTAATTAAGGCTCCAGTCATACTTAGTTGACGAATACATAAACAGAAATAATATTTACTCGAACGTTCATTAGACGAGTCGCTGCTGCTGCTGCTGCTGCTGCTAGACACTTGCAGCGCACTAGACTCTCTTATTCGCTACGTTGTTGAATAACGAGGCAATCGCAAAGTAACAAAAGCAAAGCCGCATTTGTAAAGCTCGTTCACGTAATTAAAGAGAGAGAGAAAGAGAAAACGGTGGTTGCACACTGTGCTCTACGTCGTAAATAAGCTGAATTTTTATTAAAATAATCGTGTCATTCCCTTTTTCTCCGTACCTTCTCTCTCTTCCACGCGATAGTGCGGCGGTCCTTTGTTCTAGCTTGGCTGAAAGCATAAATAAAATAAAAAAAAGTTAGGGAAAATAAGCACTATGCCGCGGGGATGTTGGAAGTGAAAAAGAAAGGTACCTACCTACATAGAGCTGCAGTGCACTATACCAGAGAGAGAGAGAAAGAGAGAGGTGGAAGGTTTGACTTTTTCAAGAAAGAAAAAGAGACAAAAAAGGAAAACTGTTCGCACTGGGCAACTTAAATGAAAGTATGGGGCCGTTTTACTGAAAATAGCGAGCAACGGACGTATTACCGAGAAAAACTCGTTTCGCGTTTAATTAATGTAATACGGGACCCAGAAGCAGCAGTTGTCTCTCTTCTCTCTCTGTCCATGCACCTATGTGTGTGTGTATAGTTGGCCAAGAGGGAAGCATTTCGGACGCGCAGCAAGCCAACAAGCAGCGGTGGCTACGACTACGTCGACCGTCGACGTCAACGTTGACGAAGGAGAAAGAGAAAGAGGGAGAATTTAATGAGAAAATGGTGAGTTTATAAATGGCCTGTTGGACACACGACGGACTGCCGCCGCCGCTGCTGCTGATGATGATGATGATGCAGGGGTGATGTAGCCTTAAGTGGAATGTACATACATTAAAGAGGGAAGTAAATGAAATGATGACCCGCTGGCTGGAGTCGTAGTCACTCGTCAGCGTTACCTGATTTCCCAGCAGTGAGCACATTTACTCGCACTACATAAAATTATACGCAAGTAAGCCAAGTTTTTTTTTCCACGAGGATCATATTTTGCGCGAGGACACTAGCCTGTATTATCCGCTTAAACGAGTCAAAAGTTTTCATTAGCGAGTCGCGCAAATTTTTATCTCTGCGCGAGCTTTTTTTGCACTTTTTGACTATCGATGATTTGCGCGGAGCAAAAAGCAAAAGAGAGGGGATAAATTGAAATCGTTACCGAGCTCCGCAAACGCGTTATAGAACCAACAAGAGGGACAAAAAAGCTATATCGGTGGAGGGATGCTACACGTCGCGAAATGAGTGCCGAGCAAATATAGCGAACGAATTGTTTTTGCTGCTGATTGCTAGGCCTGCCTCCTCCGCGCACCCCCTATGTTTTTTTTTTTCGTTGCTCTCGTGCATATAGCTCCGGCCGAGCGAGGCTTTAGCCGGTCTTAATATATAGCCTATGTATCGTGCGGCGGTGACATCGGGTGTCCAAGTTGATTGCTCGGTGGAGAGCGGCAGCAATGTCCTGATGACATTTGCACTTCAAAGCGCCTCGTCGTCGCTCGATTTCCTATGGCAAAATCGAATATATATGAATTGTGCATCCCGGCCTTGCTACGCTATGAGCGGTTTGCGATCCAAAGCCTTTTGTAATCGATGACAGCTATATGACTACGAGCAGACGAGGGAAATATCGAGATTATGCGCGGCTGACTTTGGCAACGGCAACTTTGACCCGCGCACACAAAGTAATTGAGATACACCGATGAAAATTCGCTAAAAATAAAAAAAAAGGATAGATTGAAATGTTCCCTGCGATAACTCGATACAACAGTCGCGAAAATGGACGTGACCCGGCGAAAAGTTAATCGCAGCGACTGCAGGGATCCAGCCAAAAGAGGAAGCAGCGATAAAGCTCGTGGGGGAGAGCTCCGATTAAGCCGAGATGCCTTGGAGCCGGCCAAGTCAATCTCCGCGCGGGGGCCACCTGCAAAAAGGCCGGTAGGTAGCTGCTGCGCCCAGTTATCGCGCATTAGCGACTCGACCGTTGCGATTTGATATTTCGTTTCCTGCGCGCCTCGTACAATACATAGACGGCCTTGAACGATCACCGCTTGGCTATAGTTGGCAATTGTCAAAATCACTCACGAGCTCCCTCCTCTGCCCAACACTGCGAATATTTGCAACGTACGGAATTTCATTCGTTGCGCGTACCATAATTCGCGAGCACTGCCGCTGCTGCAACGCTAACTGCTCCACGTTACTGAGTGAGTGCGTAGCTATACGCATG